TGTTATCGGTATCACTTAAAGTACTTAACTGATTAGCTTTGACGCGAACGTAAATAGTATTCTTTTAAAACCAAAGTTTAGAGTCTAATTTAAATCAAAACTACTAATGGGGTCCTAAATAAATGCAATTTAGTTTAGAGCTAGCCGAAGGTTTTATAGGTGACCTAGCCTCTACTGAATATTTGTAATTTAATATTTAAATAGAAGTTTGGTGGTTTAAAAAGCTTTCGTTTTCCGTGTTTATTACGTTTCAAACTTTTGAACCACTTTTTGGACCAATTTGGGTACATAAGTATAACGTGTATACGATTGACAAGTTCTTTGAACTTCGTTGGGGCCAGTGTCATATGTAACATAGGCAACTGTACTTTATATTGTATTGGCCATTGTAGTTTAGTATCCGGCAAGCAGCCGCTTGATTAATTGACGGCGGGAGATCAAGATATTTCAATCCTTACATTTCATGTAATTTGAACATACCGTGGGTATATTTTTTTGAGATTAGAGAAATTATAACAACGAAATTAATGCGGTATGTGTTACGTCATCGGTTTTCTTCGGTAGGGGTGGGCGCGCCCCTTGGCGCAGTTAACCCTTGACCCGTTTCCGTTTTTGGAGTGCGCTATTAGTGATGTGGCCGAAATTGTTCACTAATGATGTATTATTTGTTCAAGAGATTTTTTATCTCACTAGAGGTTAAACATATAAACTTAGGGCTTATTTATTTGTTTATTTATTTAGCTGTTTATTTTATTTCGCTTAGTTATTTCCTTTAGATTGCTTTTAAACATTTAATTGTTGCATCATCAAATTGCATCAATTCACTGTTGGATATTGGGCTCTCTCAAGGCACGTCACTTTGCACTGTCTTGTATAATACTTCAAATACAGTTTGTTTAACTTGGATATTTGTTTATTTATTTAGCTATTTATTTTATTTCGCTTAGTTATTTCCTTTAGATTGCTTTTAAATATTTAATTGTTGCATCATCAAATTGCATCAATTCACTGTTGGATATTGGGCTCTCCCAAGGCACGTCAGTTTGCACTGTCTTGTATAATACTTTAAATACAGTTTGTTTAATTTGGCCGGAAGGTGGCCGGAAGGTGGCCGGAAGGAAGTGAGCGCGGAATGTTTTGTTTTGTTAAGTAAACCGTATATGCCTATTGATTGCTTCTTAAATGCTCTCTTCTATAATTGCTAAACTTATCACTACATAGTATAAAACAAAGTCGTCTCGTTGTCTGTCTGTCCTTATATATGCTTAGATCTCTAAAACTACACAACGGATTTTGATGCGGTTTTCTTTAATAGATAGAGTGATTCAAGAGGAAGGTTTATATGTATAATTCATGCATAATGTAGTAGAGAAACAATTTTAGAGGTTTCTAATGCGATGTCGAAAAAAAAAACATTCAGCATTGCACCCGTGTGAAGCCGGGGCGGGTCGCTAGTATTACTGTAAGTTAATTAAAAAAAAATCGATTCTCGAAAATTCAATTTCGCTATCCTTACTTCCTTATTAATAGTATAAAGGCGAAAGTTTGTATGTGTGTATGTATGTATGGATGGATGTTTGTTACTCTTTCACGCAAATACTATTAAATGGATTTATATTGAAACTTTATTATAATATAGCTTACACACCTAAATAAGGCATAGGCTATAAATTATATACATAATAATATATTTTTATTTATATCTGTCTTTCCGTCTGAATGTTACGCCTTCAGCCTATTCTACGCAGACGTAGTCGCGGGCGGCAGCTAGTAAAACATTATCTATTTAGCTTAAAGAATTGTTCTCAGTTGCCTGTAATAATTACAATTACAAAACATGAATCCTCATTACGACAATTTTATGTACCTTCTTAAGTTTTAATTTGGTAGACCAAAATACTTGATACGTACGGTAGGCATTTATATATGTATAGTATTTTTATTGGGCGATTGCAAGCTAGCGTTAAATGTAAATGCCTGGCAATGGCTACAAGGACTTTATACGTTTCTTAATTGATTTGATTTCACGATGTAATTGACGTGTAGTATAAGTCAGTAAAACTGAAGTATGTAATGGATTGTTCTTGAACATTGTCAACATTTTAAATTTTTGGCAAGAAATTGGTTTTATGAAAAATATATATAAATTGATATCTACTGATTTGGAAAAGGCGATTAAGTATACCTTAAATCTCTTACTATAGGCTATTGTTGATATTTTAATTATTAAATGACCTATCTCTCTAAGGCATTTTTATTAATGTAAGATTTATGGTATTTTATTTTGAACCATGAATAGTATAGTAATCTTTGGTAAGGCTTAGTAAATGAATCTGTATCTATATTCTTTTGTACCTACGTGTGTGTCACTGAACTCCTAAACGGCTGGACTCATTTTAATGAAATTTTTTGAGTGTCTTCAGGTCGATTCGAGAATGGTTTAGATTCACAATTCGTTTTTTTTATAAGTTGTTGTCGGATTTAAGTCGCGTGTACAGGAAAACGTCTGTTGGGTCCGCTAGTATTAAATAAAATTCTCGTGCGATATACCCCTCTGTGATAGCTCAGTGTCCGGGCGCTCGCCTTTAATTCAATATACTCGAGCAACCTGAGTTCGATCCCCGGTGCCGGCACCAATTAAGTTTTTAACTTTAAGTGCTGACTTATCACGTGCTCCGCGGTGAAGGAAAACATCGTGAGGAAACCTGCATATTTTAGAAATAATAACAAAAAAAAATATTTTTCTAAGATATGTGAAGTCCGCCAATCCGCAGTGGGGCCGCGTGGTGGACTATGCCCTGATACCCTCTGTATAGAGGAGGCCTTTGCCCAGCAGTGGGACGTGTATAGGCTGTTACTTTATACCCCTCTGTAACGGCTTGATCGATTTTTATAAAATTTTATATGTATATTTGGTAGGTCTGAGAATCGGTCGTTATCTATTTTTAATACCCCTGTTATGTTTAATACCAGGGTGGTCCAACCCAAACATTTTTTTCTACCCAACAAATTATTTATATGGAAAAACAACTCTTCCCTAGTCAGCTAGTAAATATATAAAGTTTAAAAGCTACCCGCGCACTAACATTTTCTCTAACTAAAAGTCGAACTTATCCCTTGCAATGTCCCGACACGTGAGATACGTTCCGGTTTTACTCAGGCGTAGTCCGTAACATCAGTACCTATGTCTGCTTTGTGGTTGGCTCTTCGGCTTAGTAATTTGAGCTATCAACGGACAGCTCGGCAACGTTATATTGCACCATTTCGAAAAGCTTGTAAAATGATGGTATTAATAGACGAAACTGTTGTTTGGAGAACTTTTAATATTTAACGAAATAGCTCATTACATATAATATTAATAATATTCATCGGAATAGTTAAATGTATTGAAAGTGATGGGCTTTGACTCGTGTTTTTGGGGTACTTGGGTTGGCAGGTGTGTTTTTCTTTATTTGGTACCAATGATATTGTATACAAATACGAGATATATATGACACTAGCGCACCGAAATTTATGTACTTAAATTACGCCAATTGGTGTAATTAGTTTTCAAGTCTATAGACTGCTATCACTTTCCGGATCATACGTTCTATATCATCTGTCACATTCACTCATATAATAATAATATAATAATAATAATTCTTTATTTTCTCACCACAGTATGTATCACAATAGCATTTCAAAAGGTGGATGTACTAATTAATTTTCATATTGTGATTTTGTAATTTTCATATGTGTCATATAAGTGAATAAGTAAAGCGGAATAATTTTTAAACGCCGCGCAATATGCATGGACATGCGTCATCTCATATTAAAACATCATTGATTTGTCTAATTAGTTTTCTGTTAAGAAAGAACCTCACAGCTTCTTCTCATACATGAGTGTGAAAGCTCGGTACATGCAGTGACTCGGCCTCAAATAAGACTAAGAACTGTTCATATTTTTGTATTTAGTTCAGCAGTTTGAAGCTCAATTTTTTCCTGTAAGCCATTGGTATTGCGGACCTTTACAAGCGGTGGACTTACCGTCTGGATGCAAATTTCCCTTTGCCACGTCCCCTGAAACCAATGCGTGGCTTACAATAAATAAGCCCTGGTTGGAATCTCAAGGTACGATCCCACCAGAATAGTGTGCAGATCATTTGTTGACGAAGGTTTTGTGCGTAACTTCAGCATTTCACGTACAAGCAGATATTTTACACTCGTTTAGCCCCTGTCTGTCTCCACCGCCACAGTTTTGTAAGCTTTGTAAGCGCAAGTGTTCGTGCATACTTGTGTACGTGTTTGTGTCGTACACTGTGCATTTGTTTTGTGCACTGTGCATTTGCGTCGTACACTGCGCATTTGTGTCGTACATTGTGCATTTGTGTCGTATACTGTGCATTTGTATCGTACATTGTGCATTTGCGTCGTACACTGTGCATTTGCTTCGTACATTGTGCATTTGTGTCGTACACTGTGCATTTGTATCGTACATTGTGCATTTGCGTCGTACACTGTGCATTTGTGTCGTACACTATGCAGTTGTGTCGAACACTGTGCATTACAGTGCCGCACAGTTCGGCATACTGGTTCGGTGTAATCGCATGTTTAGGAGTTCCTAGTTTAATCCTCGACGGCATTTCTTGATGCTGTAAACAAATTCGACAGTAGCCAGTGAATATACGCGTACGTGATTTCCAGTTTCATTTGCCGAGGATTGCGTTGCATATCGATTTTTTCTTTTCTTTTGTAATAAGTGGCAAATCAGTGATGGATTCACTTGATATAGACTATAACCGCCCATGTATATTCGCAATACACGAGGTGTTTTCCATGTACTGCGAAACTTTAAAATGATCTCCGGTCCAACTTCGTCCTTCTGACGAAACGCAAAAGCATGAATACTTAACTCAATGCCGGTCATTATTGGAATTTAGCCAGCCCTTTGCCTGCAGGAGCAGACGTTGTTATCCTCGCAGATGGTGGGCGATTTATGTAAGGAATATCATTCTCACCAGTACCACTCGCTGGGAACGTGAAGGGGAGGCAGGGGAAGAGGCGGCCTGCGGTTGGCGGCCTCGAGGCGGGCGCCCCCGTCGGCAAGAAGGGGCGCGCGAGCGACCTGAATGCCCTAAAGCTACCCTCCCACGGCTACCCCACCGAGCACCCCTTCAACAAAGACGGCTATAGGTACATCCTGGCCGAGCCGGATCCCCACGCGCCCTTCAGACAGGTGTGTGTTGCTCTTGGTTTCTTGTGTTTACGTTTGTCTTTATGTCGCTTTTAGCGTTTTTTTAAATGTAAGGAGCTGTTAAGCAAGCTGGCGGTTAAATGAAGTAGATTCGACTTTGTTCCAACCTGTCAAGAGTTTGAACGGTAGCAACGAGTGGAGCAGGATACATTGCCAATGACAAGGACCATAATTCATCATCGGTTGTAGATTAGGATGTTCGAGAGACTTCGAAGTAATCCTAGATTATGACGGAGACTCACTTTGTCCCCAATCCGTCAGGAGTTCGACGAAAGCAACGAGTGGAGCGGGAAACCGATCCCGGGCTGGCTGTACCGCTCCCTGTGCCCGGGCGTGGTGTTGCTGGCGTTGCACGACCGCGCCCCACAGCTGAAGGTGTCCGAGGACCGGTTGGCGGTCACCGGCGAGAAAGGCTACTGCATGGTGCGCGCCACGCACGGTGAGTGTGAGAGGGACGGCTGCACCTTTGCAGGCGGCTCGAGCGTGTGCGAGAGGGACGGATGCGCTGTTGTAGCTCAGAACGAAAGGGTGTGTTAGAAGGGGACGGATATGCAATTTTTGATGACTCCGTGGCGTCTGGGGTCATGGGTTCGATTCCCACACGGGGTAGCAGTAATGTGAATTGAGTCATGACTGTAAGAAATTCCGCCTGATCGAAGCTCTCGAGGTGGCATGTTAACCCCTCTGTTAGTTAGCCCTAAACAGGAAAGTCACTGCTGTTGCAAGTCCTTTGACCTTGGCCAAAAATATATGATGTGTACCTCCACCTTCCATCTCCTTATGGGGTCAGCTAAGATAACTGAGTGATGAGGGAAGGGGATTAGTAAGTAGATTGGAAGTATGTTACGGAGTGCTGATTGAAGTGAAAGGCGGAAAAGGGATCGAAGTCGTGATGGCCGTGGAATGAGTCGAGGTTTACTTCTCAGGTTTGAGAGATGAAATGAAACAGCTAGTGAGGATGGTGAGGTGGCTCAGCTTGTCGGTGGCGATGATGGGTGGATGTTTGATCGTGGGGCAGGGGTGTCGCGCGGCGCGTGGTACTGGGAGGCGTCGGTGGAGGAGATGCCGGAGGGCGCGGCCGCCCGGCTCGGCTGGGGCCGGCGCTACGCCAACCTGCAGGCGCCGCTCGGCTACGACAAGTTCGGCTACTCGTGGCGCAGCCGCAAGGGCACCAGGTCGGTGGCTGAGATATTTTTTGTTTTCTTTTTTTTTTAAGTAAAACTCCTTTACGCACGCTTGGCTCGGGGAGTAGATCGAGCAGGTCGAGAGCGTTACGAAAACTGCGATGTTACGCGAACGGTGATTTCTCGATTGTTACGTAGTTTCATTTCCGGTCTTGAACAATTTTATAGATTAGTGTTTTGTTCAATACATTGAATATTCTACGTTTAAAGTGAATAAAATTGTAAATTTATACAGATGGAGATACAGATTACATATAGATGTAGCTACACAAGTATTACTTCTGTCCGTGTAGTAAAAAGGAGTGTGCACATTTTTTTTTTAAACATTGTCCTTACATTATGATAACATTATCCTTTGTTGTATTTATAAATAAGACATTTCACACATTTCTAAATAAGAGATTGCACAAACATAAATTTGACGCGGACAAACAGTCAGATGCGAAACAACTATTGGGCACACAAATAGTTTACCCGTGTGCGAATCGAACCCACGACCCCCGACGCCGAAACCAATACCTTGGCAACTGCGCCACTGAGTCAGCAAAGACGTGTTTCCCTCATTCAGATTTGTAGGAAAAATGGACGAAGATTTTACGTCCTTACGTCTTCCGGATTCAGCACCCAGAAGCTTTAAACCCAAGCTAAACGGCTGATTGCCGACGTCGACGACCCTTAGCTAGATCGTTTTTTTTTAATGTGATTTGTTCGTTTTATTCCCGCAGCGGCGATAGACTTTTCGTCGTATTTTTCTACTTTTTGTTTCATCTTAGTGCAGAGATTAGCGCCATAAATATTTATATGTTTCCCCATGTTCTTGCAGCCATAGCCGTACGCGCCGCCATTTTGCCTTTAAATATTGATTTCTGACCAAATTTATTTACTTTCTTTTTTAATTATCGGTGATCACCTGTCATTTATTTTTCGCATGATAAGAGTTGATTGTTACAGAGTGACATTAGACATTAATTAGGCCAGTTGTGACTGAAGCAGACGCGACTGAAATTTTCTAAAAAAAACTAAATTCCTTCTATAACTTCTATATATTCGCTCTTGTATGTTCTATGTGATGAATACCCAAAATATACAGCCTTCATTTATCCGATGAATATTTGCTAAGACAGAATCTGAAGACAGAATCAGGATTCAACTTGAAAATTGGTGGCAGAGGGTTTTAAACAAAGGGCTTACAGGCTTGCGGTTTAATATGTTAAAAAATATTCAAAAGTTTACGAAAAATATATGGAATATATTGAAACGTTATAGTAATGACGAAGTTAAAATTATCGTTTAGTCTTTTGAATAATAAGTGCTTCGGTTAAATAATTTAAATAAGTGCTTCGGTTATTCGCGTAATTATTGATTCTACTTGACGATAAATTCAAATTATTGTAATTAATTAATTACGAGTGATTTTAAATATTTATCATTTTTTATATAACATTATTAATTATGTCTAGAATTTAATTAAAAAAAAATGGATACACTTAGAAAAGCCTCCCTGTATATGTTACACCTCAGGTTTCACGAATCTCGCGGCAAACACTACAGCAACGGTTATGGTGAAGGGGACACCCTGGGATTCCTCGTGGTGCTGCCGGACAGCCCCACCACCAAATACACGCCCAACACTTACAAAGACAGGGTGAGTGGATAAAACACTATCGTTAACCTAAGATAACAGAAAATACTACAAAAACATTTATGTAGACTTTATTTGTTATGGACACCTGTTTCCTTTTAAATAAATAAAAAAATTGAAAATTTTGTTTTTCAACTATCAGTTCAAAGGAGATTTTTGGACACATACGCTGACCATAACTAAAATAAAAGCTATATGTATTTTAGTAGAACCCGGAGTCCCTCCAAACGTATATAGGTGCCACCGAGGGGGTTTTACTGGGTAAGAACCGCACTTAACTCTGTCATGTAAGATGACAGGTTATCTTTTGAAGATTTCCCCCGATACAAAAAAAAAAACAAGACCCGGAGGCTGTGTCTCTATTCACACTGACCCATTAACTCTCTATAGTGGTATCCAAGCTCAATGATGAAGGAAAACATCTTGAGGAAATCTGTATATTTTCGAAATAATAACAAATATTTCGAAGGTATTTGAGTTCCGCCAATCAGCAGCTGTACAGACACCTTATGCCCAGCAGTGGAACAGTGGCTGTTAGTTTACTGCTGCGATGGTGCATTAACAAGTCCGAGACCGTTTCGCGAACTGTACACAATCATGTCGTCGTTGTGCGAACACGAAGAAAAACCCACGTAATGTGAAAGTGGTACGATTGTCCCCAGCCGCTGGTGAAGTTCAAGAGCCACCTGTACTACGAGGACAAGGACAAGGTGCAGGAGTCGCTGAGCAGCCTGCGGCCGCTGCCCTCCAGCCGGATGCTGTTCTTCAGGAACGGCGAGTGTCAGGGCGAGGCGTTCCGCGACGTGTACCAGGGCTGCTACTACCCCACCGTGTCGCTGCACCGCAGCTGCACCGTCAGCGTCAACTTCGGGCCCAACTTCAAGCACCCGCCGCCGCCGGAGTACCGCTGTCGCCCGGTACGCCGCTCCCATAGAATACATTTCGACAGCTAACGCGCCGTTAGCACGCTGATGTATACATGTTTCGACAGCTAACACGCCGATAACACGCGGATGTATACATGTTTCGACAGCTAACACGCCGATAACACGCGGATGTATACATGTTTCGACAGCTAACACGCCGATAACACGCGGATGTATACATGTTTCGACAGCTAACACGCCGATAACACGCGGATGTATACATGTTTCGACAGCTAACACGCCGATAACACGCGGATGTATACATGTTTCGACAGCTAACACGCCGATAACACGCGGATGTATACATGTTTCGACAGCTAACACGCCGATAGCACACAGATGTATGCATATTTCGACCACTAACGTTCCGCATAGTACGAATGTACGCACATGTTTCGGCTACTAATTTCCCAATAGCACGCACGTGCGCATCTGTTTCGGCTAATAACCCTCCAATAGCACACTCGTACGTAGGTAGGCACACACGTAGCTTATTAAGTCTATCACGTTTCTAGTGCGCGCAATTTATTTTTGTGCATTTTAAATGTTTCACAGATGTCGGAGAAGGCGGAAGAAGCTATATGCGAGCAAACAATGGCGGATCTGTTGTACTTGACCGAGAACGAGGGAAAATTGCGTTTGGACAACTTCAACCTCTGATACTAGGCACACCGCTTGACGGTGTGCATTTGACTTTGAGTGTGTGTTGTGACAAAATGTTAGCTGCATCCAGTTAGTAAAGTACATTATTATATAAGTAATAGTATTCAATAGTTGTCTGGAGCAATAGTCAGCATGTTGACTATGAACTATATATAATACAATTGGCTAAGATGCTTTATATAAATGACATTCGTCCTTTCTAGAAAAATAGTAACTAAATTACAATAATGTACTGCTATACAAATAAAAATTTAGCTGTTTAACACATATTTTGTGTCACAGTTGTATGAATACATTATTAAATTATACTATATGAATTTAAACCTTATCCAAGCGATATAATATTGTTAACCTTAAAAGCTACTTAGAACAGTACGCATTGGCTAATGGTATATACAGAGTGATTTTATAGACTAATGTTTGAAAAAATTAAAAATAATCTTATAAGATTATTTTTAATTTTTTCAAACATTATGGACACCTTAAGAAATTCCTGCCTTACCGTCTCAATACAATAACCTATTGACGAGCACTAAAACTTTGCGCTGAGTTCAGCGTAATTAAGTGTATGTCAATACGTTGACCACTCTTAACGGGATAAACAAACAATGTTTGAATTGATATTTTTCTGGTTATTTCTTGTCAAAATAAAATATTAATATATTTTTTTTAATTGTGGAATGCTCAATTAACATTATGTCAAAATATGTACTTCGTCTAAAAAATCACCCTGTATACTACAGATAAAACTTGTTAATATGGAGTCCTGAATGAATTGAAATGAGATAAAAAAAATCGTGTATTATTAATATTCATGTGCTGGCAAAGTATCTATGAAACATAATATTAAAAGTGTATGTTAAGTGACAAAAAATTAAACTAATTAAAAAGAAATCTCATCTCCATTGTAGCAAATAGAACTTTATATTAAAGTGATTCTTAAAGGTGGTTGTAATCTTCAATATTTTAATAAATCTATGTACCTATTAAAATGTGTATTGGTAACTTTTATTTCTGAATTGCATTTGCAATTTAAGATATAAGCATGAAATAAAAAAGATAAACATGAATATATGTATACAAACTGTTTTATTATTTTATTTCAATCAAGTTTTAAAAAGTTTGAATGTTGCCTGCATCTTAATCATTAGTTTATTAAACATTTTACACATCACAGCCTATATAACAATTTATAACATTGACATGTTTCCGCACCTGGCGGTGTTTCTAGTGCATTAGAAACACCTGGCATATTCCTACCACATAGTAGTATTTAATCATAAGTGTGATTTGAAATTCACATGGGCCTGACTACATCATTATTTGTAAATCGGATTTCGATCAAAACTACGAATTGGAATGAAATAGAACAATGAAATTGCAGCTTCATGTCAGTCATTCTCTTTGAGTCAAATTTATTCATATTCTCAAAACTGGCCATATATTATACTTTTTAATGAGCATGGGTAGATCACAAGGAATCAGAATATGTGTTGTTCAAACAACTACATACACACTTGCATAAATATCGTTAAATTGTAGGTATTAATCTTATACAATAAAGTAAAATATTACAAATGAAATACCTTATTCCACTTTGATGACATATTAGAAAATAAATTATGTTAAATTTCTCCCTTTCGCCATGAAATTATGGTAAAGTCTTGGTCATGGTTCTACATAGTTTTTTAGGGATGGAGTAGTAAGGGTTAAAATCTAATGTTATTGATATAAAGGAATTTGTGTAAATCTTTGATAAAAGGGATTCAGTGAGAGTTAGAAGAAATGGGACATTAACAGGCCTAGGAAAGTTGTGAGGAAGAATATCCATAAAGGGGGGTTGCAATATTTGAAATCCTACCTTGAATATACATGCTAACTCCTGTACATCAAGTTAAGTTAAGTTCCACAAGGAAGCATACTTAGACCAGTTCCCCACTTAATATTTACAGCAGATCTACCCAATCATTGCAATACCATTACAGCAACCACTTTTAGACAACACCCAACACTTAGGTATCCGTCTAGTCCGCCGACTCACTTGGCGCAATCATATATGGACTAAAAGATAACTAGACTGTAAGCTCCATACAGTGGCGGATTTGCCCTAAGGCCCAATAGGCCCGGGCTTAGGGCGACCACATATTAGGGGCAGTCAATCGTGACAAAAAATTCACTGATGACAACAAGATGTGTAAAGATGAGATGAGGAAGGGGTGGCTGGAACTTCATGGGCTGGGGCCTAGGGCGGCCAAGACTACAAATCCGCCACTGGCTTCGTAACATGTACTGGCTCATCGGTCGTATGTCATAGCTGCCTGATGCTAGTAAAATGGCTATTAATAAATCCATATTAAACCCTATATGGACGTACAGCATTCAGTCAGTCATAGCAATATCGAAATTCTTTAAAGGTTTCAAAACAAAGAAAACCATGTTCAATATTCCACCACACATCTTATATATAAAAATGGATTGCTGTTTGTTAGTCTCGCTAAAACTCGATAATGGCTGGACCGATTTGGTTAATTTTGGTTTTGAAATATTTGTGGCAGTCCAGGGAAGATTTAAACTGAGAAATTATGGAAAAATTGCATTGTAAATCGAAATAGCAACAATTTTATTTTCCGATACAAACTGTACCTGTCAACTATGTCTGTGTAACCTATCAAACACTTTATGCGTGAGCTCCCATTCCTCTAGAAATAATTTATGTGGTAAAACATCGGTTGCCGAGTCAGCTAGTAAGCAAAAATATGTGAACCTAGATCTCAGTAGTAGAAAAGTTATCAATCCAGATTGAACCAACATATTAACAAGCTGGCTGCCAAAGTACAGGAAGTGAGCTGGCTAAGATTCTCCCGTTTAAATAGAAACAGTACACCAAAACTAGGGACAAGATTCAAAGACAAAAGATGAGTATTGCACCGCTGTGTAAGTCTAAGCTGAAGATATGTTTACTGATGATAATCCGACAGCTTATTAGATTAACGTTTCTTTTTAATAAATAAATTGCTAAGTACCATGAAAAAAGAAAACTACTACACAAATAGTTGTTTCTAACCAATACCATGGCAACTGTACTACCAAGTCATCATAGGAGATGGAACTAAAACAGCAAATGCAATATAATTCAAAGATAGAAAGAAATAAAAATATGTAACTAAAAAGGACAGTAGACAAAGTGCAATTAAATAATTGGTATTACACCTTTATTTATTATATTTATGATTACTCTATATTATAATGATTCAAAAGGAGTGAAACATTTTATTGAACTCCTCAATGTGTATCAAGCTTAAATTTTATTATTTTTCGAATTAGAGATTTCCCAATGGTTTAGAATCTAGCAAGTCACATAATCTTTGAACATGGGCTATATTAAAATTCAAGTTTGAAAAATAGACAACTAATAGCTGAAATATTCTTTTGAACATAATTATTGACACACAATCATATGATTTATGTTTTTTTTTTGGCGGTGCACCTAACATTGTGAAACAACCACCCATGGACATCTGCTACTCCCTTGGGTTCCAGATGTGTTGACAACCTTTTGAAAATTGGGTTCCTGCTACTTAACTCACCAGACGAAACGTAGAAGTATTATACTTCCACTTCACGCCGGTCTTCTGTGAGGTTGTAGTACTTACCCGGATGAGCCTACCAATTCGTGGAACAGCCGAGGCTGATGCATGGCCTACCACAGTTTATATAATATTTATAGGATAACTTCAGAAGTATAGGTTTTAAACATTGAATTAAGTAGTCCTTAAGTTCTTCTTATAATTTTATTACAATATTTCGCTAATTACATGTCTTTTCTTTCCGACGACCGTGCCAAGAGAGAGCATCTGTTCCTTGTACCGCTGTTGGCAGTACCCGAAATGCATCATTCACACGTCTTAATTCTTATTGTGTTATGAGTACTGTTTTTAAAATACATAATAAATTAGATTAATATTTCTTACAATATTTGTGACAGTTAATTACAGCTTTATTTAAGTCTTTATGAAAAATAAATTAAATATCGGATCTTAATTTACACTTCAATGTTGCCATATTTCCAAGATATAATGTCGCTATTTTACAAAAGTTTTATCGAACATAAATTTATAATTAATCAAAAATATTATAATCGTTTATAAAGTAAGACTAATTTTCTAGTCAATATAAAATATAAACGCATAAATAGGCTAACATATTTTATTATTCATTGATGTCATAGGAGATTCTAATTACTTTTCATATATAATTTTTTATTTGAAAAGCTGTTCCATGTTTCTATATTAATTAATTAAACAAGTTCATTTTCCGAAACCTCCTCTACAGTTAGGACTACTCTCCACAATCTTTTCACTCTCTTCCCATTGCTTGGTTGTTTTTGCTACTATGGAGAGTGCATGAACTCCATTTTTTAATTCCTCTTTCAATATTTCATTCACTAATCGGTGTCTCTGTAAACACAAAAAGAAATACATGATATTTTCATTGAATAACTGTAGAATGGTTCAAATGGACCTCATGTTTAAATAGCATGTCAGTACAAACGTTTAGTATAAGAACACAACATCAAAATGATTTAAGCTCTCAATCAAAAATATATCTAAGGCGTATTACCTTGATTAAAGCCAACCCATCAAATTTATCAGATACAACAACTACTTTAAAATGTGTCTCCGCTCCTTTAGGGACATTGTGCATATAAGATTCATTAATAACATCCAAATGTGTAGCTTCCAAAGCTGTCTGCAGTTTGCTGCGAATTGAATTTGCAACCATTCCTGTCACAGTATCCATTCCTCTCATAATATTCAGTCTACCTGGAATTAAGTATTATAAAAATACCACTTAAATTCTAATGCAACTTTGAAAGCTTTAGAAAAAGTATTAAAAAGACAAACACAAAGTAAGATCCACTTACTAAGTAAAGGATTTGAGGTTACACTTAATGTGCAAGCATAATTATGGCTTCACTAAGTATTAGTGGATGTGTAATAAAATGTTGTAACAAGACACTATTCTATATGACTGTTGTATGAATACAACAACCGCTTACCGCGTAGAGTTACGATTAAAAGTATTTGGATTAATAGTATCCAACGTTACATTACAACGGATTCTTATCTACAAAATTATAATAATGAGTTGAAATATGTATAAAATATTTATTCTTATATACGAGAATAAGTGATTTATTGTTTAAATATGTATTTAGTGAATTTAAATAGAAACTGAACATACCCAATTGTAAGGTATTATTGACAATCCTCTGAATCAGAATCATATATGAGTTCGCCAAACTTCTGGGGTTTAAAATAAATACCTTAAACACGCAATAGCTAAGTTATTTTTTTAACTAATGCTTTTTCTTGAGCAATTATACAATAGATCGGTATTTAATCCTGACCATTTAAACTTTCTTGTCATTGTCATTCACTTCGACTGAAGTGTCATTATGTATCAGCTGTTTTAAGAGATGTCAGTGTAGATGTATGCTCAGCTTTGACATTTTTGTTTATGAAGTTCACCTATCGCATCGCAATTAGTAGACAGACGGCCTGGGCGAGGGAACAAAAAAGACACTAGGGTACTTACGTATTAATGCCACTGCAGCTACAGATTTGGCATTAGGCTTGGGTTCCCGCCTTGACGTCGCGGAGGGACTTAGTAGCCGTTGGTCACCCACGGTGAAGCTAAGAGGAACCCACAATTGACCGGCCTGTGGTGTAAGGCTGGCCCACTCCGAGTGAGCTCATTGATCCCACTCTGGATGCGTGTTGGGGACGTTAGGGGACGGGTCGAGGGTGATAGAGTAGGAGCCACTCTCCCTGTCTTCTTTTACCGAGGAAGAGTCGCGCGGGAAGAGGAGTGCCGGTATTACGTTTAGCTGCTCTCGGTATCCTCCGCGACTCAGCGGGACTGCACCGCTGATGCAGTGGTAGTGGTGCCGTGGGGGGAGAACAGTGTTGGTATTGCGATGCGCCGTTCTCCCTTCCCTCCGCAGCCAAAATGTGGTGAACGGTGGAGCCACAGACCAGGTCCGCCTCTGGGGGCTGGCTGGCACTAATAAGTGCTGGCTCTCATGGTCTCTGGTCAGCGAACTTCGGGGAGTGGCCATGAAAAAGGGGACGAGTAGGAAGGCGTGCTGAATGTTCCAGCGCGCTTTACCCGGAGGAGGGGGGAATTGCTTCCTGAGAAGGGACTGCTACAGTGGTGAGCACTGGCAGGGTCGAAGAAGAAGTGTGCGAAAACGTTTCCGTGGCCGTGCCAATATGCGCCTAGGTGAGCGTGGAATATCGTGGGGGTTTTAGTCGGTACTCTCCGACAAAACTCGCTCTTGCTCCCGCGAGGGTGGGTGTGCGTAGGCATTTCCCCCACTTAAACAAAAAAAAAAAAGAGCCACTGAAGTGTACGAAAGCGATCTCGTGGCCCTGCCGATATGTCAGGCACATATCGGCAGGTGGAATATCAGGCAATATCGTGGGGGTGCGAGTCCGACATAACCGGTACGTTAACATACATTCCTCGCACGTTAACAAAAAATGTTTTGATTTTAAATAAAACACTATATGAATTCCAAACCTTTTTTTTTTTTTTTTTTTTTTTTTTTTTTTTTTTTTTTTTTTTTTTTTTTTAACGTGGGAAAAATCCTTTATGGATCCCCCGCCACCTTGTGGGTAGACAGCGAGGGTAGTGGGAGTCCCCAGGATACGGGGGTACCCACTAAAAAACCCACGTTGCACCTGCGCTGTCGCTTTTGCCGGGGACACGGGAACACGAAAACGCAATCTTCCGCGAACCCCGGCGCGACTGTGGCCTTCTAAGGCCTCCTCTCTCCGGGTCTTTAGACACCCGGTCCAGCCAAATGGTGCCGTATCGGTGCAAGGGACACGGCACCCCTCTCGATCCCCCTACGGGCAGCAGTTAATCCCACATCTGCCGCCCCAGGGCTCCCTATCAGGGGGGAAGGTTGCGCGCGTAGGCCAGCCTCCTGCGCCCTGGTCTCCGGCGGCGGATTTCCAGGGTGGCAGTTGCCTCCCTTTCTCGCTCCGCGGCCTCCTTCCGGGTGACTATGTCCTCACAAAAAGCAAGGACCGCACCCCACGCCCTCTCGCTGTCCACCATAGCACGAACCACGGCAGGCAGCGAGAGGTCGTGCCCCACGATAGCGCACAGCTCTCGGCGCTGCTCCATCCAGGCTGGGCACTCTTCCAGCGCGTGTTGGGCCGTCTCCTCGGCACATACGTCACAGTGGTGGCATTCCGCTGTGGGCTCCCTCTTCGCCACGCGAAACAGGTACCTCCCGAAACAACCATGTCCCGAGAGGACCTGCGTCGCGCGGTAGGTGAGGGCGCCGTATTGCCTGTCCAGCCACCTACTGAGGACAGGACGTATGGCCTCCACGGTTCTTAGGCCGGCGCTGGGGTGCTCCAGCCTTTGCTCCCACTCAGCAATGGCGTTTGAGCGCAAGATATTCCTACGCGTCCCCAACTCGTCTGTGGCTGGCGTGTGGCCTTGGGCTTTTAGCTCCTCGCGCCAGAAGTGCAGTGACGCGAGGATTTCAGCTTCCAGGTCCCAAGGCAAAGTACCAGCCAACAGGCACGCCGCCTCACCGGATATGGTCCGGTAGCCCCGAATGGCTCGTATGGCCAACACCCTTTGCGGTTTGCACAAAAAGTGCTTTGCTCCGGCGGCTCAGGGTGCCAACCCACACGGGAGCCCCATACAGGGCCATTGACCTCAGGACTCCGGTGTATAGGCGACGGCACATATCGTTGGGACCGCCAACGTTTGGGAGCAGTCTGCCGAGAGCTGTTGCTGCTTTCACCACTTTGGGAGATTGCCGCTCAAAGTGGGCACAGAAGTCCCATCGGCGATCTAGGACTAGGCCGAGATACCTCATGGTAGGTTGTACGTCGACACGGACGCCACACACAATAATATGGGCGTCCGCAGGTGGTGCGTTCCGAGGCCCATAGAAACATAGGGCCTCGGATTTACTTAACGCCACCTCTAGCCCTAGTCGCCGAATACGCCTCACCACCTGAGCCACTCCCGCAGTGGCGAGAATAGCAGCCCGGCGAAAGTTTGTGCCGCGGGCGGTCACAAGGGTGTCGTCAGCATAACATGTCACCTCGACACCCCTGAGGTAGGCACCACGCAGCACCCAATCATAACCTAAATTCCACAGGAGCGGCCCTAACACCGACCCCTGTGGAACTCCACACGTCACCTCGATGGCTCGTCGAAGCCCGTCTCTGCATGGATACTCTACACGACGGTCTGACAAGTAGGCCCCGATGGTACGGCGCAGGTAAAGGGGCACTCCATGATACCGGAGCGCCTCTCTGATGCAAGCCCAGGGCAGGGTATTGAAGGCATTGGCGATGTCAAGAGACACCGCCAAGACGACCTCACCCTGGGAAACTGCTTCCTGCGCGAGGGACCTCACTCTCAGCACCGCGTGTATTGTTGATCGACCCTTGCGAAACCCAAACTGCCTATCAGAAAGATTAGGGCCGACATGCTCCAGATGACCGATGATGCGGCTGGCAATGACTCTCTCAAAGAGTTTGCCCACATCATCGAGCAGTACTATCGGCCGATAGGCAGAGGGTGAGTCCAGGGGACGCCCGTCCTTCCGGATGAGGACGAGTCTGCCTGTCTTCCACTTCTGTGCAATTGAGGCTTGAGCCAGACAGGCAGTAAACATCGCCCTCAACCTGGGCTCCAGGGCGTCCTCCAGGGCCAGGGCCCAGACTCGTCCAGGAATACCGTCAGGACCCGGGGCGGTGGTTTTGGCTTTCATCTTTAGAACGGCAGCACCAAGCTCCCCCGGGGTCACCTCAGGCACTTCCACACTTACGTCAGTCTCCTCATAGTCAGGTCGAACCATCACAGGTGGCGTATGCTCCTCTCGCTGAGGGAACAAAGCCGTGGCAATCGCCGTCACCAACTGAGGATGCAGAGTTTGCGTGAGTGGGGGGGCCCAGGGGCGAAGTTTCTTCAACACCATCCTGTATGGCCGTCCCCATGGATCACGGTTTAAAGAAGTCAAAAATTCACTTCTGGCAGCAGCGACCGATTTGGCTATTTCGGACTGCAGTGCCATTTTTGCCGCTCTATAAGAGGCGTAGAGCAGCGGCTCCAAGCCTGCATCTCTGTGCCGCCTTCTTCGGCATCGGGTGAACCGGCGCCTTGCCACGACACACGCTCTACGCATTTGGGAGAGCTCCTCAGACCACCAATATACTCGGCTCTTTTGTGGGAAATTATATGAAATCCAAACCTAACCTAACCTAAGATAACTGGGTACGCGTGCATACAAGATTACCTTTATTGGCGCATAAGCGCAACTTATTCTGCTGCGGTGGCATTAATACGGAAGTACCGACAATACCCTTAGCTCACTTCAGTATTTAAAACTGCAAATTGCCGTCTTCATAAAGGGACAAAGAGTACAAGAGACAGAGGATGATTCCTTACAGTAGAGGAGAAATTATTTGGTTGTTTTTTAAACCAAATGGTAAAGTACATAACGTTAGAAGCGACGTTGAGATTTTCGTGGGTGCGACAATCAGCTGTTAAGCTTATTGGTTAAAGCGTCTGGGCGCGAATCCAGAAGACGTGGTTTTGATTTCCATAGCGGCGAATAACCTTTCATCCTTTTTTCTACAAAATTTGTTTATCAGTTAAATTGCTGTTAATGTGTTAAATGTTATCAGCCATTGCATAAAGTAAACAAAATAATTTTTGTCTTCAGAGAGAATGTATTAATTTTGTACTACACGGTAATTCTAAAGAGCAGTACATTTATGTTAATTCTGTACACGTTAACGTGTTTACTATTACGGAGAGTACCATTATACGAATAGTTTTTATGTCCTGATACGGCTGTAATTACAATATGATAATAACGAATGTCGCAATTACGTAACCGTTTATGCGAATATGGTTATTGTTATCGTTCAAAAATATATTCGAATTTTATTCAAACAGATAGGAAACTCTTGGAAGCTAATTTGAGGGTGTAAATATTAACGATTTCATAGTGAACTTTTTTGAATATGGAACTCTTGGGACACATGCTGGTAACATTTCTTTTTTATTAGATTCAAATGTTAATGTTATAAACATCACACGATGGTTCTGCTCACGCCATTTTAACTCCATTGCGACTGGCATAAAAAAGAGAGATAAAAAAAAAAGAAAATCACTTTGGCAGTCTCGACGCAGTAATAGCTGTCCCCATATTTTTTATGGAGTTTGATAGATTGATATTCT